TAAAAAAAATGCCTGCAACTGTGCGATGTGAGTGAATTTAAGGCCAGCAAAGGTTGGTTTGAGAGATTTAAGAAGCGTAGTGGCCATACATAGTGTGATAAGGCATGGTGAGGCTGCCAGTTCGGACCACAAAGCGCTAAAAAAATATGTGCGGGAATTCAAGGATTTACATAGACAGTGAAAGGACTGAAACCTGAACAAGTGTTTAATTGTGATGAAACAGGCCTGTTTTGGAAGAAAATGCCAAGCAGGACCTACATTACTCAGGAGGAAAAGGCACCCCAGGACATAAGCCTATGAAAGACAGGCTTACTTTGTTATGTGTTCCAATGCTAGTGGTGATTGCAAGTTAAGCCTTTATTAGTGTATCACTCTGAAACTCCCAGAGCGTTCAGGCAAAAGAATGTCCTCAAGGAGAATTTGTGTGTGCTGTGGAGGGCAAACAGTAAGGCATGGGTCACTAGGGACTTTTTCTATAACTGGTTACAACCATGCATTTGCCCCAATGTGAAAGTTTTACCTAACTGAAAAGAAATTAGAACTTAAGTGCCTCCTGGTGTTAGACAATGCCCCTGGTCATCCTACAGACGTGGCAGAGCGACTTTAGGGGACATGAGCTTCATTAAGGTGAAGTTTTTGCCTCCTAAAAACCACTCCTCTCCTGCAGCCCATGGACCAGCAGGTTATTGAAAACTTCAAAAACTGTACACAAAAGCTCTGTTTGAAAGGTGCTTTGTGTTGACCTCAGAAACTCAACTGACTAAGAGAGTTTTGGAGAGAGCACTTTAATATCCTCAATTGTGAAAAACCTTATGGTAAGGCTTGGGAGGAGTGACTAAGAAGACTTGAACTCTGCTTGGAAGAAACTGTGGCCAGAATGTGTAGACAAAAGGGATTTTGAAGGGTTTGAGGCTAACCCTGAGAGGATTATGCCAGTTGAGGAATCCATTGTGGCATTGGGAAAGTCCTTGGGGTTGGAGGTTAATGGGGAGGATGTGGAAGAGTTGGTGGAGGAGGGCAATGAAGAACTAACCACTGATGAGCTGATAGATCAACTTCAAGAGCAAGAGGCCAGACCTGAGGAAACTGGGTTTAGAGGAGGGGGGAGAGAAATTGAAGAAGTTGCCTACTACAAAGATTAAGGAAATGTGTGCAAAGTGGCTTGAAGTGCAAACCTTTTTTGATGAAAATCACCCTCACACAGCTAATTTCAAGCCATGTTGGCAACCTGTACACTGACAATGTTGTGAAAAAACTTTAGGGAAGTCATAAAGGAACGAGAGGTACAGGCCACTATGGACAGATATGTTGTGCGAAAGAAGTCCAGTGACTTCTGGCCTGGTGGTTAACGCTCTCGCTTCACACGGTGAGGGCCTGGGTTCGATTCCCAGCCAGAGTAGAAACATTGGACGTGTTTTTTTTCCACCTGTTGTCTATGTTCCCCATCAGTAAAATGGGTACCTGGGTGTTAGTCGACTGGTGTGGGTCGCATCCTGGGACACTGACCTAAGGAGGCCTGGTCACAGACCGGGCCGCGGGGGCGTTGACCCCCGGAACTCTCTCCAGATAAACTCCAGATAAACTCTGAAGCTGGTCCTAGTGGCATTAAAAGAAGAAGGGAAGTAACCCCAGAAAAGGACTCGACACCTCAAGTCTTAATGGAGGGATTCCCCTTCTAAACACTAACACTCTCTCTCCCCTCCTCCCATCCCATCAATCATCACCAGATCTTCAATAAAAGTAAGTGTCATGTAAGTGTGCATGCCTTTTTCAGTTTGTGTGTATTAAAATTAACATTTCATGTGGTAAAAAATTTTTTTTTTCATACTTTTGGGTGTCTTGCACGGATTAATTTTATTTCCATTATTTCTTATGGGGAAAATTCATTCACATACCGATTATTTCGCATAACAATTACCCCTCTTGCACGGATTAAAATCGGTATGCGGGGGTCCACTGTATTGACGCATCAGTGATTCCGCCCAATTTGAGCCCTGTTTTTGGCCAATTCTTTTGTTTGTCGACTAAAATCATAGCTATGTCAGTAGACCTCCATTTGTTCTCTCGAATGAGTACAAGAAACTGCCCATTTACCGATTCCAACTACCAAATGAAAAGGTCAGAAATTGGCAATTTGGCTAATTTCACAAATTTCAAAATAGGGTCTAGAATAAACAATGCAGACATTCCTGGCACTAAAGTAACATTTTCTCTGTTTATTAGTCACATCTCCAGTCCCCTCTTACATAACTCTTGCTTTCCATTTTGAATTTTTATTAACACAAAAATAGATTTACTGTTATACAGACTACTGCATTATAATAATTGTATAAATGATGTCAACCCATTCACGACTGCATACTAGACTGGCCAGTTGGACACATATTGGACATCGGCAAAAATCGAACATTTCTGGTACTTTGAGCTCAATTTCAAGGTACTTTTCATCATGAAACCAATCAAAATCATCTCTATTTCTGTAACATATCTTCCATTCTATCAAACGAGACCAAGAAAACTAGAATACATCCATAAATATTATACGAAAATACACCATAAATTCGGTTTTAACCCTTTCAGGGTCGAGAGGCCCTCTCCTAAACTTGTTCTCCGGGTCAAAAATTTTTCAGAAAAAAAAAAAAAAAAATTCTTATGAAAGGAGAATCTTTTCCCTATCATAAGGACACCAAAAGTATGAAATTTGACGGAAAACTTATGGAATTATGCTCTCGCGAAGTTAGTGGTCTTGACGATGTTTACGCATTGGCGATTTCGCCCACTTTGAGCCAATTCCAGTGTACTAGTAGACAAAAATCCTAACTATTTCGCTAGAACTCCATTTTCTCTATCAAATGAGTACAAGAAACCACCCATTTACCGATTTCAACTATCCAATAAAGTGGTCAGAAATTAGCAATTTTGCCAATTTCTCACACATTTCAAAAGATGCCAATTTCCAAATAGGGTGTGTGTGTGTGTGTGTGTGTGTGTGTGTGTGTGTGTGTGTGTGTGTGTGTGTGTGTGTGTGTGTGTGTGTCTCTCTCTCTAGAGCAGCTGATACCTTATCAGCTGTATAATGTACTGCAGGGTAAAATAGCCCAGAAATCAATTACAGAATTTATGCACACTCAAGTATAACCATCAACTTCAGTACCAGAACCTCTACCATCCACCTCAGCCCAGTAGGACCACAACATAACTCTACACTCTCTTCACAATCATCCACAAACACCAGCACCCACAATTTAAGGTAAGAAATATTATTTCTGTTGCATTTGTAGTCTTAAGCAGTTAAGAAAACAATATATCATGACAATGAACTACAATTACACACTCACTTTTATTTTTGTAAGATCTGTTGATCTAAACAAAAAAGTTGTTTGGCTTTTTGGGGGCTCCCAGGTACATAACCCTATTTTTTTCCCACAAGTTCTTCAGTTTATCTAACATGGATATGCCTAACACGGCGTTTTCAGGAACGTAACTACCGTGTAATATAACGGTCTACTGTAAGTTAGTGTAAATTTGTCTGGCATTTATAAGTGGAAAAAATGGTGTTCCACTTCTTGGTAATTTCCACTTTAAGGCCTGGGACCTAACCTGCCATGTAAGTGGGGCCCTACCGTATTTTAAGTATCCTCCTTTTATAAACACCAACCTCTGCAACTTCTCTTCAGAATTTCCAAAAATGCACTGTGCTGCCAGCAATGATCAACTGCGACAACTCACACTTGATGTCACTTTCATTATCGTTTAATCCTGCATCTCTCCCTATCCTACATCCTGAAATATTGATAAATTCCTTCATTCACATATGAATTACTCTAATGAATTTGTACAATGCAAATGCACTTTCATGTTAAAGGAATAAGAGATAATCACATCACTTCCTTGAGAGAGACCAGTGTTGCAACCAATGTGAGTTAACGAGAGTAATAAACTCTGTACCACAACAGGAAAGGTACAGGGAAACTTCTACCACGCTTATTAACATGCGAGACAATAATGAACTCTCATTGATCGAGACATATCAAGAAATCAAGCATTTGTGTTGCAAATTGTTGCAGTTTGGCAAAGAAGGACAAAATCATATGAGGGCAAGTCAAGCCAGCAAGGGGCACTGTGGGGTAGATTCCTTTTAGACTTAGTCGAGACAACTCATGCGTCACACTGTAATAACAAAGACAATAGTGATCGCGTGTTTTGTTAATAAAAGAATCTCAACGGACACAGCAGAAGTGTGATCAGCTTCTTTAGTGGTATGACTGTGAACAATAGACAATACTTGATGAGCAGTGTGTAACAAAGAGTGTTGCAAATTTCTCAACGAAGTGGAAGACAGTGTGACGTTCTTCAAAGAACACGTCTGCTTCAATCAAGACTTCGGATATCCGGATGTACGGGTCAGCTATAAATACCCAGGTACATCTGATAAACACGTTTTATTTGGAGGTACCATATCCGGTATGTATAACTTCAGCAATCAGTTTGAGATATGCTGAATAACACCCCCCTAGGGGTAATTGTACTCATCATACCTTTTTCCCTTACAGCCCATGTGTGGTTACAGTTGCATTGTTGGCTCCAAGAACACCTTGGATGCGGCTGCAGAATGTGGAGACATCATCAAGCTAAGTCCTATTACAGCTAACTTATTATATGACCCAGCTTAGTTTGTATGCTAAAACCCCTACAATTGTTATTCACTCATGCTCATGAAATTCAAGACCCTCTCAGCTAATGTAATCACAATGAAGCTTTTGTAAGAAACATACGGTAAAGCGCAACTTAAAATCACATAGATCAAACAGAATTTGAATCCACAGCAAGGAAATCCTTAAACCAGCAGGCCAGTACTTTTATTTCCATACCATGTTGGTTAGAGAACTGGCTTGCCATGAGTTTAAATCTTTCCCCTTACCTGAGCAGTTTACAATCAATGTTAAAATATTACAATTTTGGAAATCATAATGAAAAAATTAAATATGAAACATACTCACATTTTCTTGTGCTTATTTAAAACTTTAGTGATGTACTTGTGATGAGACAAGACAGAAGGGTCTTGTGTTTCTTCAGCATAAGTGATGCAAGTAAGAGGTAGCCATGCAGTACCCCCTACGTCTGACAATACAACACAGAGCCTTTCTGCTGACTGGTGAAAACATTGACATTTTATTAAAGATTACTGAAACTGATGTCAAAATATAAATATATATGATTTCTGCATAACACTTTCATATCAACTCTATAATAAAAACAGAAATCCTACATAATTTGAAGCCACAGATGAACAAAATTTGAGTTAGAGCTTTTCTGTAATGATCATGACAAATTGTGTATGCAGAGCAGTAGCAGGCATTCTAAAATTTAGCCTAACACAAAGAATGTGGAAAGAAAAAAATACACTTTTATAAAAGATAAACTTGCAATGTGTAGGTACCTTTCCCATTTTTTAACTTGACAGCACTACCATCAAGGAAGGGTGACCTCAAAAAAGGAAAAATACTAGAGTCCCTTTCTTGACATTACTGTAGGGCCCCACTTATATGGCAGGTTAGGTTCCAGGCTACCACTGTAAAGTGGAACACCATTCTCCCCCCCATCCCATGTATAAACACATAAATGCCAGGTAAAAATTTACACTAACATACATTAACGAGTAAATGACACGCACCAAGAATGTGAACAGAAATGTGTAAGGGGTCACTCAGCCAGACGAAACGCATATTAACCCTTAAACTGTCTAAACATGGATCTACGTTCACTCGCTTAGCACTCCAAATATTAAAAAAAAAAAACTGTTTTTTTTAACCCTATCAGAGTTGAGAGGCCCTCTCCTAAACTTGTTCTCTGGGTCGAAAATTTTTCGTAAAAAAAAAAAAAAAAAAAAAAAAAAATCATGAAAAGGTAGAGAATCTTTTCCCGATCATGATGACACCAAAAGTATGAAATTTGATGGAAAACACGGAATTATGCTCTCACGAAGTTAGCGGTCTCAACGATGTTTACGCATCGAAAATTTTGCCCACTTTGAGCCTTATTTTCGGCCCGGTCACAGACCGGGCCGCGGGGGCATTGACCCCCGAAACTCTCTCCAGGTAAACTCCAGGTAATTCCAGTGTACTAGTCGACAAAAATCATAACTATGTATTTTGCTAGAACTCCATTTTTTTCTATCGAATGAATACAAGAAACCACCCATTTACCGATTTCAACTATCCAATAAAGTGGTCAGAAATTAGCAATTTTGCCAATTTCACACGATGCCAATTTCCAAATAGGGTCCAGAATAAACAAGATATTCCTGGCACTAAAATAACATTTTAGTGCCAGCTTTCTCTTGCTAGATTTGAAGGTGCTAGAATTTAGGCATACTAGTATGTCAATAACCCTGGTGCATAAGCCATACTAATACGTCGGAAACCCTGAAAGGGTTAAATGAAGAGCACATTTTTATAAATGTCATAGGATAAAATTTTTTTTTTTAGGGCCATTATTTACCGAGATATAAGCCTGCAAATCTGGTGCTAAATGATGAGGTGTCTGCAACATGGAGCACTGCCACTTGCAGAAATAATAAACATTTATCATTTTTTCCAATTCTTTTCTATTTTTTGTTTTCATGTTATGATAACAATGTTTTGTTGCAGATCTTTTGATTTCATAGCCAATTCTTGTTGAGACACAAATGTTTGGTACTGAATTAGTAATCATACTGTCACAAACACACATGTTCACAGTGATAGATGAATTTGTACACTTGGTTCAATCATATACTATTGCTTACATATATATATATATATATATATACATGTACAAGGTATGTATTTACAGGTCCCAGTTATGTTTCTAGAAGTCAACCACTGTATGATACTCGAATAAGGATGGATTCATACAGAGTGCCACCCCAAACTGCTGACATGTGAATCATGTCTTTTTGCAATTGGGGTTGCTGTGTAGTGTAAGCACACACAACACACTTTTTCTGAGGGTGAATTCCACATATCGTTGTTGCTTGCCAGTCTATTTCATACATGTTGAAGGCACTGAGCATTGCAATGTCTACAAGGTGGAAAACGCTGATATACCACTTGCGACTCCTACACACACAGTCAACAAACCTTATCATCATGTCACACTTGTCGACTACTCGCATATTGTTCGTATAGTCGACGACAGCAGCTGGCTTTACGATAGGTTCGTTGTTAAACTTGCTCAGTCCGTCTGTCTGTCTACCATCTCGTAACTGTGGATGTTTGACAGAATCGTCACATCCCGTTTGTCATCCCACGTCAGTGCCATGATGTCATTGGCACGAAACTCTTCCACTAGACTTGCTCCAGTGAACTTTGGCATGTGTTTTCTATTTCTTCTCACTGTTTCACATACATATATCAGTACTGTTCACATGTAGAAAGTCAGCGAGCATAGGGCTTGTATACCAGTTGCCTGTGAACAATGTATGGCCCTTGCCAAGGTATGGCTGCATCATCGTGAACAACATCACCAGAAATGCCCAACATGTGCATGTTATTGTCGAATGTGTTTTTATGTGTAGATAACGCCATCCAACACAAGACCAGTTGTACATAATAAAGACTTTTATACCAAAGCGATTACGTTTGCTTGGTATATATTGTTTGAATGACAGTCGTCCCTTGAACAGAACCAAGGACTCGTCAATAACAATGTTCTTGAATGGATAAAAGTAGGCACTGAATTTTTGCTTCAGATACATAAATAATTCCCGGATTTTATATAAGAGCTCATTTCGGTTTGGCGTATTCCTGTCTGAGAAGTGCAACATTCATAGCAACAGAGTGAATCTGTTGCAGGGAAGGAGGTCACGGAAGACTGGAGTACTGATGAAGTGGTCTGTGGACCAGTAGTGTGCTATATTGTTCTTGTATGTGTGTGGCATAATCATGACAGTGCCAAGTAATAATTACATTTCAGCCACAGTTGTATCTTTCCACCTGTGCAACCGTGAAGATTCTGAAACATTTGTGTGGTCCATTGTATACCAGTAGTACATGGTGGTCTGGTTAACAATCAGGTTCATTATTGGCTCATCAAAGTATAGTTGAAAATAGTCTTAACTCTGTAGACTCATTTGTGATAGGACAGTGTGGCATGATGCCACTACCACTGACATCAAAATTGAAAGGATGTGGCATGGATGGTGTACTTTCCATCCAGTTCCATTCGTGGTCACATGGTGCAGGTTAAACCTGTGGCATGGGGCCTGGGAGACCAGGAGGAGGGGCAGGAGTGGAGGCAGCACATGGTTGACAGAGTGCCAGGCAGTCCTTTGTCTGCCCACCCACCATGCCACGAGGTCCAGGCACCATGCCTCCACCCTCTTCCTCCATCCCAGCATACACTCCTTCATGATCACTATTACTATCAGTGGCTGGGGGTTTGGATCGGGACCTGCCACGACCCTTGCCGTCGACTGCATACGGAACACTGCCCGAGTGTAGGTTACGACGCCTAAAAGTACGTTTCACTGGGGAATAATGATAATCACTTTCACTCAACAAATCAACTATGGGCCTAAAATCGATTTCATCATCGTCACTTTTATCATTTTCACTATCGTCAACACCATAATCTTAGTCTTGTGCTCTGTGAATCTGAACAAGATGTCCTCTCTTGAGCAACTCTACCAGCAGCTAAAGGAAGAACTGAGGATGGCTAAGCTTGAGATATAGCGACTGGCTGAAGAAAACATGATGATTCGTAGTAATCCTCCTGTTGAAAATTCTCAAGCCAAGAAACGAACCTGGACAGTGGCTGGAAAGCATGGAACAAAGTTAAGGATCAAGAGGACGGATGGAGAGGTAGAATCAATGAAGATCTAGGAAACTGTTGTGGAAACATCGAACCCATTCTCCGTGCTACCTGATGAATGTAAGTTGACTACAGGGAACATCACGACGAACGACGCCAAGGAAGGTAAAAACGTTGTTGTTGAGGATAGCCAGGTTAGGTACATGGATAGGGCCTTCTGCTTGAAGGATAGGAGTAGGAGGCAGAGGGTGTGTTTTCCTGGAGTGAGGACCTGATTAGTAGATACAGGTCAGCAATAGAGATAATTAGGAGGAAGGATAGGAACACTGTCATATGTGGTATTTTGCCAAGGAGAGGAGTTGGAAATGAATGGTTGTCCAGGGTAATTGGTGTCAATTGCTGGCTGGACAAATACTGTAAGGAAAATTCGGTAACATTCATTGACAACTGGGACCTCTTCTATGGCAGAAATGATGTGTATGCCAGGGATGGGGTTCACTTACCTAGGTTTGGGGTGGGGGCACTGGCAACTGCAGTGGAGGGAGCTGTTAGGACTTAAAACTAGGAATAGTTAGTGGTATGGGTTTTGGCGGGAAAACAGTGAAGTCCCATTGTAGTATGTGAGTACTAGGGGAACTAGTAACAGGCAGAATGGGGTGGATATTGGAAAGCCAGTGGCACTAGGAGACAAGGACAGTAATAGGTTTAGTGGAAAAACAGAAATGAGCAGGAAGGGTAAAGAAAAAGATGGGCCTTTAAATATTCATTATGCTAATACCCGTAGTGTTAGGAATAGGATGGATGAGTCGAGATTAGTTGCTAGTGCAGATAACATTGATGTATTTGCCATAACCAAGACGTGGTTTAATTCAAAAAGTCAAGACATATCTGCAGTATGTCACATTCAGGGTTTTAAATTGTTCCAAGTAGCTAGAAGTATCGGAAAGTGGGGTGGGGTGGCATTGTATGTCCGAGATCGCTCGAAATGTTGCATAAAAACAGGTATTAACCCTTTGACTGTTTTGGTCGTACATATACGTCTTACGTGCCACTGTTTCGGACGTATTAATACGCATAAATTCTAGCAGCTTCAAATCAAGCAGGGAAAAGCTGGTAGGCCCTCATATGAGAGAATGGGTCTGTGTGGTCAGTGTGCACCACGAAAAAAAATCCTGCAGCACGTAGTGCATAACGAGGAAAAAAAAAAAAAGACCGTTTTTTGGATTAAAACGCCAACTTTGAGGTGTATTTTCGTATAGTATTTATCGTTGTATTCTCATTTTCATGATCTCGTGTGATAAAATGGAAAACATATTACAGAAATAGAGATGATTTTGATTAGTTTCACGATGAAAATGA